TATACAACCCCCTTGAAGGAGTTTGGACTACGGCTCATTTTGGGGCGGCTGTTTTTTTTGAGATCTTTGGGGGGTCTAGGTCGTGCAAAAAAAATCTCGATAGTACTGAAGGTCCCTCCACGAGGGTTGAAAAGACATCTTCGCCTAAGCGGCCTGAAAGAAACAGATATCTTTGCGTGCCATATACCAGAGTAAAAACAGCAAGAACGGCAACAACATGCATGACAATAGTAAGCATTACTTAGACAGGATATCATGGACCAAGAAGAATTAAGCTCAGAGAACTGCAACTGCCGCTTTGTTACCTGTAGGATTCTACCTTACATTACATGCCAGCCCGTGCCAGTGTAGAAGCCCAAAATAGGTCCCAACTCATTCCGAATCTAGCCATCGTTGAGAGTTGAGAGTCAAGGCTTTCGGGGACCGGAGTTTTGGGTTAAGGGCTCTGCAGTATTCTCAATTTCGCAACTACGAATAAGTCATCAACTGCAGCAGCTACTTACAGGATGCCGAGAACTGATGAATATGAAGCCCTGTGAATGGTCTTGTGGTAAAGATTTTTCCTTGTCACCTGGGTTGTTCTCAAAATTATGGGCCCCTCTTGGTTATGGATGATATTACGGCACCTAATGTCCAGTGGTATTTCAAAATGGGACCGTAATTTTGGGAAACCCCAGGCCCTAAACCCTTAAACCCAACGTATCCCTGCGTATCCTCCTATAACCCCTTTTAAACGGACCCTAATTTTGGGAACTACCCATAAACCCTAACCCCAAAATCCTAAACCCTGATTTTGGGAACTACCCACGTGCTTGCAGGGATCCTATCCCTCTGCAATGTAAGCCATGCCCCAAAAGCAGCCATGTCGTTCGCAGGCATAGCAGCACAGAAGCACAGTTTAGGGTTCAGGGTTTAGGGTTCAGGGTTCAGGATTTAGGGCTTAGAGTTTAGGGTTTAGAGTTTAGGGCCCCAACAGTCCCTGCTTTAGCATACACACGTTCTCAAGAACTAGAATTGTATCAGAATGCTGCATGACATGATGTCATCATAACGAGTAAAGGGGTCGCCAGGTTGGGGCAAGGGTCCCTGATTTGCGCAAGTCTCTGTAGTCCATCCATCTAATGACAGGAAAAAATGCTCACCCCTTCAATGGGGTTTCCTAAAATTAAGGCTACCATCTTGGGGTCCCCATACTAAGGATGGTCTATATTGGGGTCCCCTTGTTTAGGGAAACTACCAAATCTTTGCCCTAAGTTTGCGTGCCACGCGCGCCAAAAAGCGCTCCTCACGCTCTTTCAGCGCAGCATGCCGCGTCTCGGTCGAGCTGTCCAGCTGCGCGCAGATACCTTGACTCTATAGATCTTGAAAAGCATGGGTTTAGGCTTTGGGTTCATGGACTAGAGGGTTGAGGAGTTAGGGTTTTGCAGTAGGGCTTGTCTTGGGAAACAATAGTTAGGGTTGAGGGTTACATGTTTCGGGATATCATGGTGGCTGAAATCTAGCGTATTCCTACGAAAGCGCCAGTCGGCCTTTTCCGAATCCCTATAATGGGCAACCAGTCGAGCTTTCAAAGTTACATAGGGTATCGGAGCAACAGTCTAAACTCCTTAAAGGGGGTTACATAGGGGAGTATATAAGAGTACTATAGGGGTTATTGACGGGGATACTAGGAGTTTAGACTTTAGCTCATATGAAGAGCCAATAGCGGCCCGTACTGTGTAGGGGTCCCTCATTCCAACCTGAGAAGGTCATGGATGCGGATGCGTCAACCCCAAGCCCCCTTGGAGAATGCCGACTACCTAGACTAACCTACAGTAGTACTCTTGAATGTGGTAGGTAGCCGGGGGGTAGGGATAACTGGCAATGAACGAGGATGATATGGGGAGCAAACTTCTCCTCTGGCGTCGGTGATGCTTTTTCGAGCCCGGAGTCCGGAGGTATGAGCGAGAGTTTGATTGACACACAAATCAAGAAACACCTTGAGACTGTCTTGAACACAAAAGTGCCCTTCAGAGTACGTACGGTAAGGACCACGTAATCGCGGGCCTTTGTAATCCCCTCCCCCTAATATTTACCCCTATTGTTTAACCCCCCCACCCCCCCTATTATTAACTACTCCCCATTTGTTTTGTAATATGTGGGGAGTATTTAATATTAGGGGGAGTGGGGGGGTCTAATATTAGGGTGAGGAGATTAGCTTTGTCTTTCATTTTTTGCTATGTCTTCTTAAGCAGAGCTTCGGACCTGCGGTCGGCCTGTACAGTAATTACCCCAGGAGGAATCCATCCCATGTCCCACCGCCAAACCCTGCCAACCCCAAAGAAAAAAATCGAGACCTTAATCTCTACATGCCATAATGCCTACAAACCCCAAACCCTAAACCCTAAAACCTTAACCCTAAACCCTAAACCAACCCCGACATCACCCTTTTGGCCCCGAGGCTGTGTAGCCGGAAGAGGCAGTGCTCCCTCAGAAGGTCGTTTCGTTGCGTCTCCAGCTGCCGGTACCTGAGGTGTTCTTTTAATTCACGTTGCCACCAAGAATATGGGTGGTTGTCAAAATTATGGTCCCTTTTTGGGTCCCTACTATAATACGGCACCTAATATTTAGGGTACCCAAAAAGGGACCATAATTTTGACAACCACCCATATGAGTCATGGCTGCTACACGTCCTTTGTTTAAATCTCGTCATTATACCTGATGCTACTGCGAGCGGTACTGTCATCCACAGCCCTAGTCGCGGGCCCAAAGTTGGCGATAGTGAGCTGAACATGGGAGCATGCAAAAAAAACAGGTGTCTCTCCTGGGGCGTCCTTGCACAAAAATCTCCGCGTTACAGTCCAACTGTTTTCTCGTGCAGTTTGCACTCTGCCATTATCAAAGCCATAGCCGCTGATTAGCTTTGATGTTCGTTTTTGCCTGCAAGGTTGTGGCTGCCAAGGTCTGTGCTGCAGTTAAACTGTAATCGCCAGTGCTACAGAGTATCAGGTTGGACTTTTTTTTGGCTGGCGCAAGAACCCCAGCTGAGCAATCTCCTTCGAGACGTGCATGAGGCACGCAACGTCTCTTTACCCTTCGACTGAAATTACATGTAGGTGTTTAGCGGGCGCATGTCTCCTTCATCAACGAAATTCACCATTCAAATTACGCGACCAAGCACAAAAGGCGATTCACCACCACCCCTGGCATCAAAAAACAGCTTTGTGTGTTCCCACGTTGGGTGCTTTTGGGAGGCCTCAATTTGCTAACTATCATTTGCCTCATCCTCTTAATATATGGACCTTTTCAATCAAACAAATCTGACAGTGGCCAGAATACATGAGCTAGACTAGGAGAGCAACTGCTGGAAGTGAAATTCTTGAAGACAAACGGAATTGTATGAATGCTTCCCTAACTTGGGCGATCTGAGTGTAAATTCTTCGACCAAAGAGTAAGTGGAGTGGACATATGTAAAGATTTAGCTAGGTGTTGTACTCATTAGGCGCGGATCGCAGAAAAGCTGCATAGCGATGCCAAAAAAAGCAGAAAAGGAATGTGTAAGGAGCTCCAAGGAATGTAAGTTTGGATTTTCGCAGTGGATCGCCTCGCTGTGGATCGCCTGTTGAAGCTGTCGTGGGCTTCCCTTTCAAACTGAAATTTTTCATTGCGCAGACCATGCGTGCATAGCCACACATAGAGGGAAAACTAATTTTGACAGATCATTGGGTCATCACGATATGGGCTCATGGAGAACGCAGCTTGCAGGAGTTGGCTTGCCCAACGAAGGGTCATGTGGGGCCCGCACTGTTCACAAACACCACGCGTGCGAAAGCCGTGTTCAAGCATCCTGCAAACCAGGCCCCAGGTTACAAAAATCTCATGTACCAAGACCAAAGGCCCACGGTTACCCCCGAATGCATTCAGACACTGCTCTATTCCTCAAATCTCACCAAGTCCCAAAGCAACATCGTCAATGCTCGACTGGCATTGCTCGAGGAAGAAGCAAGGTTAGCAGGCTGGCCACTGGCAGATCCATGCGTCGCGAAAGCAAAACCTTTACCATCGCGACCGCGTGTTTAGCAATTTTTCCGGGTTGCGGGGGTGCACGTTTCAAACATAACGTCGTTCAAGACTGGCTTCCTCTGCCCCCGAATTCACTTGTAAAGAGGACTTCTTGAGGATTGGCCTTTTCTGTGTCATGATTTGCACCCAATATTCGAGTCTCTAAAATGCCTCCCCAAGTCCTAAGCGCGCGCCTGCGTAAGGAAAACCAACAGAAATCTCAAGTGAGCATCACGGGTTACACAGTCCACGCTGTTTGCCAATCCAGATAACTGCAGCCTTGACAGGACGACAGCGAATTCACTTTCTGGGAGTCCGGCAGGCGACGAAGAGATCTGTGTGCGTAGTTGGGGACTTTGAAAATTTCGGACATTCGTCACGAAATTTAATGATTGCTGCTTGAACCTAGAAGGTTGATGGTTTCCTAAAATGATCACCGCCAGAACCTTCATGAGGTTCGGAAACTTTCTTAGTTGCATTCCCAGGAAATATTTGATTCAAGACACGCCCTGTACGAAACGCAGCCCATAATGCCTTCCATTGAAACATGTTTCTGGGACCGCGGGTGCCCTGGGTGTGGGAAGCTGGCCTCTACGTGGGATGGATAGCCTGAATGTCAGTAGGGTTCGGGGTTCTTTTTTGAAGGGCGTCGTTCAGCGGCAAGTTCACCCTTTCATGCTGGCGTTCAGTGCTTCCGGATTCCTGCATTCCGCGCTCTTCAGCAGGGCCCTGAGTCTCATGTTCAGGAAAGCAGAACCTATGCAAACTATGAGGCGACTGATCGCTGAAACTTAGATAGACATCTCGCAAAAAAATCTATTTGACTTTGCCTCGCGGCATCTATGGATGAAGGAACATTCTGAACCACTTTTGACACCTTATGCACCATCATACTATGGGGATCCCGCCCGTTGCAGAAATTCCCCGCCCACCGAACTCCCTACAACATGTGATCCTACATAAAACTTCGTCCCAACTTCTCTACGGAGCCAAAATTCTGACGGCTATGTAAGAGAGCCCACATACAAAGAAAATGGTGGCGGATTAGGACGGGTTTCGGATTTAGGGGACGGTCTAGGGTGCGTGCGAAGTTCGCACCTATTTTAGCAGGGCTTCCTGGTTTGGTTGTATCCTACCCCTCCCACCTCCCCCCCACGTTATCAGACCAGGTTCTACATTGGGTTTAGGGTTTAGGGTTTAGTTTGGGGAAAACAGTTATGGCGGCGCGCTGCTGTCGATTGTAGGTGGACCCCCCCACCCTGTCATTGTGACTATAAAGGCTAGTGGTAACTATACTAGGGTCCTTTTATGTTCCTAATATACCACTACTACAGGGAGAGGGGTCCACCTAAGCTATACCTAAACCATACACCCTACACCCTACACTCTAAACCCCTAAACTCCCCAAATCCTGTGGGACTTGCCTAAACCCTAAACCCTAAACCCTAAACCTATCGATCCCTTTGGGCTTCAACCTTGCTACCCGACTCTGGAGGCGACAAGCAAAGTTCATTTTCTCCTCAGGTACCCCGACTGGCCTTTCGCTAGCTGGGAATGGAGGAATGGAAAAGAAGATGGAAACTACTAGAAATGGGTTGTATAGGGTTTAGGGTTTAGGAATGGAAAAGAATATGGAAACTACTATAATGGGTTACATAGGGTTTAGGGTTTAGGAATGGAAAAGAAATGGAAACTACTACAGTGGGTTATATAGGGACTACGATAAGGGCCCATTCCTCCCTGAACCTTATAAACCCTAAACCCATAATGGGTTGCTATCAGGATCCATTCCTTCATTCCTACCGTAGCTAACCAAAGGCCAGCCGAGGCTTGCATAAGTGGGGGGATTGTCAAAATTATGGTCCCTTTTTGAGTCCCCTAAATTAGGCCCCGTATTAAGCCCCTTTTTATAATACGAACCTAAAAAGGGACCATGATTTTGACAACCACCCAAGTGACGGCCTGAGAGCCTTTGCTTTTTCAAAGGCGCTCCGAGGCTCGCAGAAATAACTAGCAGGACCTTCCTTGTACCCTTAATTGGGGATATATGGTCCCTAATAGTGGGTACTCAGGCCCTAATAGAGGGTAGGAGGAGGGTCCAGGTATGTCGTATTGCTATTGATATTAGAACTGGTATCACTATAATTTGTTTGATGTCGTATTATTAATGATATTATTATTGATAATATTCTGATCTTCTTGGTATTTTTGGTATTGCCATTACTATTGGTATCACCATTATCGTTGTGACTATTGTAATTGATATTATAGCTGGTATCACCATAATTTGCTTGTTTTTTTTGTATTATTGTTATTGGTGTTACTATTACTGTTATGATTATCATCCTCAGACCTCTCGACTTTCAGGATGTTCATGTTCAGGGTCCGCTTTTGTAATGGGCAACCTCAGCATTCGATGACACGTAGGCCATATCCCTGGATTCGTCTCAAAAGGGGTGTAAGATGAGGATTGCTAACCCGGAGGCAACCCTAAACAATGCCCAAAGCCCAGCTAAACTTACCTCTGACTAGCGAGGAATGAAGGAACGGATCGCTTTGAATTATAGTAGTCCATTTATGTACTTTAATCTAAACTCCTTGAAAGGTGGTCATATGGGGGATTATATTGGGAGCACAAAAATGTAGGGGTTATTAAGGGGGATACTGGATACTATGAGTTCAGTTTATGGCTCATATCACCCCCAATAATATGACAGTTGCCATTTTCTTGTTGATTCCTTCATCCCCTGCTATCCAGAAGTAAGACAACCCTATGATCCCACAAAAATCGTCCGTGTTTCCTTTTCATTGTCCATCTTTCTTTCCCATGTGATTCTCCTTCATTAGGGGTAATATACCCCTGCATAAACCTGTATCAACTTATATATTCCCTTTATATATATCTCCCATAACCCCTAACCCTTTAAACTCTAGGCCCTAAACCCATACAACCGCTTAGGATGCTGAGGAGGCACTCGTCTGCCTCTTCCTTTTGCTGCGAGATTCGCTTACGTTCGTTGAGGGCGTTCCGCTTCTTGGTGAAGAGATACCTGCACCCGGCTTAGGTTCCCCTCGGGCTCCCAGTTACCTGAATGGTAGGCTACTGAGCTAAGTAACTATAGGATATGTAGCGCCCAGTTCCCATTATTAAGGTAACTGGAGCCCTAGGGTTTGACGGCTACCCTTAAATAGGGATATATGGTCCCTAATGGCGGGTATATTCAGCTCTCTTCCCCAACAACCAGGGCTTAACAAGTTTAAACTTTATTATAGCGACCCAAAAAGGCAGCCCAAGAAGTTTCAAGTTCTTCTATTGGGTAAGTAAGTTAGGGTGTGTAGAGGTCAGATGGAGGGTCTAGGCAGCACTTTGGCAGGGTTCTATGAAATAAAGATTACGCGGAACATCTATCATGCTTGGTGCTTGGGGGCTTGAGGGCTTTAAACCCAAGTACCTTCACGACATCATGGCCTCTGGTTTGGGGGTTAAGGATAATGGCAATATCAGGGGCCTCAGAAATAGCACCCCCTGGCCATGCAATTACCCGTACATGCTTGAAGCCTCTTTGCAAACTGCAGCAAGGCATCAACAACACCAGGCATAACAGTTGAAGGCCAAACCCCACTTGGTCATGGCCACGGAGCTTGCGTACGGCCCTAAGCGACGGCATAACAGACGCCTCCCCCCAAACAAAAAAAACACATGGGACCCTACAAACGCACACGCTTCGTACGTCTGGCATATTTCTTGGGCCGTTTGAGCCCCACGGTTCGTTTACCGAAGTGTACATATCAGTGCTATGTCTTCAAATAGTCTTGGTCACTGTCACATGTCGGCAGCCGCAAAGAAACAATGGGTGGTCTTGCAATGGGCCTCTTCGTTTCTGAAACTCAAAGACAGCCCCATCGAATGTGGATGAGGCATCCTTTGACTGGCATATGCAAGCCAGTAGTAGGATCTTTGAGCAGATAAGTATTCGGCCAGGTTGAAAAGTCAGTCTGGAAGCCCAAACCGCCCCCCCAAAACCTCAAAAGACGACGAGCCCGGCAAAATGGGACCATAATTTCGGACCCTGTTTCAAAACACGATACTCTAACGCGGCTAGCTATCTCCATTTAACTCTGTACGCTTGCCTTGCTAAACCTCAAATGGGAGCTTCCAAAATCGGAGGAGAGCTTATACATCCCAACATGCTGTTATCCTTGTTTGTAGGTAGCTTGAAAAAAGGAACCCCCGCTTTTGGAAACCCCCATATGGTCTTCAAAGTCTGAACTCTAAACGATCCGGCCGAAATCCAACATATCTCAATGTATCCCCTATGTGCTCACTATGTTCTGTTAAGCGTTTCGATTTAGACCTTAAACCCTGATTTAGATTTAGACGTTAGACCCTTATTCAGACTTAGACCTTCACACCCTATCTAGATTTTGACCTAAAACCCTAAACACCAACCCTAAATCCCAAACCCTAAACCCCAAACCCAAAACCCCAAACCCTAAACCCTTAAACCCTAAGAGCTTAAACCCTGGATCCCTAAACCTTCAAACCCAGGGGTCCAAGTCTTCTGGGTTGCTGTTAAGGAACTTAAATTAAGTTTACCATAATGGGTATATATAGCAAATAATAGGGTTTCCCCAATATAGTAACTTAACTTAAGTTCCCTAAATCCCTATATTCCACCAGTTTCCATTTCATTTTCCATGTTCTTTTCCATTTGATTCTCCATTATAGCGGGATAATATACCCTAAACCCTAAACCATAAACCCTATAGTAACTTCATTTAAGTTTCTTAACAGCAACCCAGTCTGGACCCGCGCCTTGCTTGCTCCTCCAGCTTCGCCTTCTCGGCTGCCAAGTTGTCGTAGTCCTACAGCAACAGGAAGGGGTTAAGGGCTTAGGTTTAAGGGTTTAGGGTTTAGGGATAAGGGTTTAGGGTTTATAGGGTTCAGGGTTTGGGGCTTAGGGTTTTGGGTTTAGGGCTTAGGGGTTAGGATGGTTTAGGTAACAGAACAGGATCTTCGGGTTCAGGAGCTTCAGGGTTGGGAAGGTTCAGAGGCTAAAGTTGCTAAAGTTTAAGGGTGAGATTTCTGGTTTGGGATTAAACTTTTAGGGGCTAATTGAAATTGGTTTCGGGGCTGACAGGTTTAGGGTTTAGGGCTTGGGTTTCAAGTTTGGGGTTTCGACAACTCTCTCATTGACTACCAACAAGAGGCACAAAGAGGAAGCCCGTGTGCTCTCAAGCACAATCCAAGTAAAATGGATGCTCCTGTATGTATACATCCATCCCTGCACAACCCTTAGCAAAGACTCGACGATACCATTTTTATCTCCGTACATAGCAAGTTGCCCCAAGACCCCCCTCTTGGATGAATCCCCACATGCAGCTTTGAAGGCTTTAAAAAAAGGATCCGGAGCACAAGATCATTTTACTCACAGTAGTGCGCTAATGTCCCCTGCAAGCCCGTGCTTTCCAAAGTCCCAAACCCCCAACCCTAGAAGACCTACACCCTGGAACAAACCCGAACCCCCCTAAAAACCCTAAACCCTAAAAACCCCAAACCCTAACAACCCCACAACCCTAACAACCCTAAACCTTAAACCTTAAGCCCTAAACCCCTCAAACCCTAAACCCTAAACCCCGCGGGCCGACTTAATTGACAGCTTGGCCCCCGGGCTTGGCGATGAGCATCGGAGCCTGAGATCTGCTCGAAGAAGGCAGTCAGGTCCTCTTGGTTATGTAGGTTTAGGGTTTGAGCTTAGTGTGTTTAGGGTTTTTAGGGTTTAGGGTTAAGGGCGTTTAGGGTTTAGGGTTTTTAAGGTTTAGGCTTAAGGGCGTTTAGTGTTTAGGGCTGGGGTAATGTAGGGATGACGGAAAAGAAAATGGAAACTTCTATAGTATACAAAAAAAAACATATTTCTACAGTTCGGGTCCAAGCTTTTGTCACATTTGTGGCTTGAACTAGGGCTGCGTGTGCGGCGGAAACGGCGCAAGCAAATTCAGCAACAATGATGGTACGAGTGAAGGGTGGTGACCTTACTCAGCAGAGCCAAAGACCCCGAAACCATTATTTGGAAACTCTTTTGGCTACTATATACGTATCATGGTGACTTATAGACTCAGTTCCCTACTAGCCACGCAGTCTGGCAGTGTCAAAGACAAACCTTGACAAGAACAGAGGCCATTTCAAGCAAACAAGGGAAAGACTACTTGGAGGGTCAAGGGTCAAGGGGACTTAGGGAGTAGGCTAATAATTAACGGGGATAACCGGGATATCATATGGCTTGTAAAGGTTGTAAGTATACTTGCTTTGTCCTTTGACCCTGCAAGTACTAACAATCAACGTTCCATGCGATCCCACCTCCCATCCCTGCAGACGAGAATCATTTTTTTTCTCAGGAGTGCGGCAATCAGAGTGGTTATTACCACTATCCGAATGCATGCATATCTTGCCCCTCCTGGAGGCACATGACTCTCGCCCCGTAAGACGGTACGCATGTGTACCCCAGCAAGTAAACCGCCCCTGTCTTAACCCTCAGAGGCGGAAGAGGCATGGTCTCCCGAGGCAGGGCCGCAGCACTTGACACACTTTCTACCGAACTCCGGTATGACGTTGGAGCGAGTAAAGTTTCCTAATCCGAAAGGCCAACCACACCAAGCTGACCAAGCTGCAGGAATAAGATTTAGGCTTCCATCTTTGACGGCGTGCCAAACACCAGTATCGGCGTTTCTAACAAAATCACTGGGCTTACGAATCAGCTCCCTACGGAACTCTTCAAGCCTCTCATTAACCAAGTCACGCCAAGACTCAGGGAGGTCAACGGCTGCACGTTGCGCCAATTCCACCTGGTCCAGTCTCTCGCTGCGTCCGGACGCCGCCTTCAAAGCCTCCAGACTGCACGCCAGTTCGTCCAAGCGGGCATGAAGGTCCTTGCCAATCTTCAAGGCCTGGTAATCCTCCGTAATGTGCGTGAGGGGAGCGGCTTTGGCGTAGTGGAGGATCATGGGACTCGACCACCTAGCCATCAGCTCGATCTGGATCACATGAAGCCCTTCTCGAGCCAGCATTTGAGCTCTGCCAAGTCGGGCGCTGTGCCCACCCATGAGCCGCTTGCCCGCACTGTCCACGATGGGCAAGCCGCTGGCGGAGCGCCAGTACTCGAAGGTGGCCACCACGCTCTCTTTGCGCCTGCTGCAGCGCAAAGACAACCCCACGTACGAGTGCAGGTTAAGGCCATCACGTCCGTCTTTGAACCAGGCAACCTTATGGAGACGGTGAGTCTGATGAAATCCAAGAACACATTCTTGGCAAGGGTCAGGCTCGCTTCCAGTTCCCTGAGGAGAAAGTAGACGCAGATGATTATCATGTTGGCCGAGAAAAGAGACCCGTCTTCGACAACGGCCTCCGCTTCTTCAAGGTCTTCCTCAGGCTGCTCGGCAATCAGATCAAGGCGCAAAGGATCCGATTGCCTAGGCGGTCCGATGCCTCTTTGGACGGATCGAGTCGCTTGCCGAGCTGCCAGCGCTAGATCCTCACTCGTTTGGAAAGGAACGGTAGCCCTTCTTCTTCATCACCGCGCCAACTGCCAACAGCTTCTCTGAAGTAAGAGGCCAGGGAGGCACGCCAGGTCCATGCCAAGAGAAGTGGATGGACTCCCAAGTCTTGAGAAGTGATGCAGCTGGCCCCCGAGACGTATTGGAGTGCACATCTCGCAGCAAGGCCTTGAGAGAATCCCTCTTTTCAGCCTCGGAGATGAGCTCCGGATGTGAAAGCAGCCCTTGGCGCGTCTGCCCGCCTGGCCCACTGAGCCGGAGTGGTCGGTGCAGCCACTTCACCAATGTCAGGCCCAGCAGGTAAAGGCCGGTCCAAAGACGATGCAGCTTCCAGCGTCGCGTGACCTGTCAAATGGGCACACAGCTAACCGACAAGTTGAGTGCCATACAAGTGCAGCACAGTGACATCCCACACGCAGAAGCAAGCAGTGAGTGCTACAAAAAGTGCAAACCGACATGCCACAGCTCAAGCCGCAAGTGCAAGATCAGCGAAAATGGGACAGCCACAGCTCCAGCTCCCTTCCATCGAACTGCATGGGTGCATCAGGCACAGCATTCAAGCGCAGACAGACACGTCAAGGTCAGACAAATCAGAGAGCATCCCTTCAAGTCACAGAGCAGGATGCAATCTCGATGCTCGCGAATCAACAATTTAAAGACTGAAACCACTAAATCTACCGCAACCGTGGCTGCGCTCCTTTCCTCACCGTGGCAAGGTACTGCATTGGCTTCGGCATTTGACCTGTCCCCTACGGCCCACCTTGCGGAGCGGACAGACAGGTGTAAAATGAAGGACCTCTCGACGGAACTACGTATTCCTTTGCCCGTTTCAGCAAAGAAGGCATCTCGAACTCAACTCCGGGCTGGTACCTCCTTCTCAGTCGATCGGCTAGGTCGTTGGAAACGCCCGGGATGTGCTGGCGCCATCGCGGTCTGTAAGAAGATCGACTGAATTCAAGAGCCAGCTCCTTGACCACCGTGCCCAGTCCTTGTGATCCAGGTTTCTGGCGCAAACTGATCATGACGGAGAGCGCCGTGACGGAGTCAGAGCTAACCATGAGGTCCAACCCGTCCTTCTTCCAGTAGGTAGCCCACGTCTTCAAGGCCTGAAGTAGTGCAAGGGCTTCCCACACTTGCTGTCCCGCGGGGTCGCCAATCTTGACTCCAGCCATCGCTTCGTCCTGCTCATCCAGGGCGGAGGCGATGTAGGAGATCACGGTGTGGTTGATGACAAGCACCGCTCCAAGACCCCACAAACTAGCGTCAGAGATGATCCTGACCCGGAGACCCTTTCCCAAGAAGGTGGACAGCCTGAACTCTCGTCTCAGGGCGTGCTTTTCCACTTCAAAGAAGGCGTGAAACCACAGAGCTGCGTGCCGAAACTGGCGCGTCCACACGCAATTGGTGGGAGCTGGGTTCCAAGCGTCGATCATCCCGGCGATGTAGTTGGCTTTTCCCGCAAAGCAGCGCAGGTCCCGTACGCTCACCACGTTGTTAGCCAGGCGCTTGTCGTTCATGTCCTTGACCTCGCGCATGAGCTCGGGCTTGCCTGTGACCGAGACCTTGGGGTCCCTGCCGTTGACCAAGGTGAAAGCGTAGCCGACCCAAGTGACCTCGCAGCCCCTGGGAGGCTTTCTTGAAGGCAAGTCTGAGTCCCAAGACCAACCAGACGCAAATGACCACAGCGATGTTGAGCTCCCGCTCCTGGAGTGTTCCCAGGAAGAGCGTAATGGGGTCGTCCACGTAAATATGGCAGCGTGCTGCCTTCTCGGGAAGCATCCCTTGAGTGAGCCGCCCCAGTAGAGCTGCCACCACACACCACGGGCGCGTTGCGGCTCCCCTGTGCCTGGCTCAAGTAGACGATGTACTTACCCTTGTAAGCGGTGACGAAGTACTTCTGCTCCGAGTGGTGCAGCGGCGTCATGTAAAACCAGTCCGTGAAATCCAACACCATGATTTCCAGAAAGGAATCTTGGCTTGCGTGTTTCCACATGCGCAGGCAGTCACTGATGACGTCGACCGGTCTGGGAAGAATGCCCAGAGATTCCAAAAGCCCTT